GGGGGAGGCTGCAGGAGGGGGTTTGGGTAGGGGTTGATAGCATGTGGGTTGGTGCGATCGGCAGGCGGGCGGAATTGGCACGTGGCCGCGTCCATTGGCAACACTGCGCGAAGTAGCTGGGTCGATTGTGTGGCGGCATGGTTGTCGTCTGTGACTTCCTTTCTTGTTTTCGTCGTTTGGACGGTTGCGTGGTTCGTACAGCTGTATGAACATTTCATATTGGAAGAACCTTTTTTTTGTGTATCTCTCTCGGTTTTGTTTTTCTTTTTTTTTTACATTTTTTTGTTTTATTTGATTTTTTATACTTTTTTTTTTTCGGTGTCAGTGTCTTCAAATCGCTTGTCTCGAATGTTTCGGTTTGGTGAGAAGTTTTCTTCTTTTTTTTCTTCTGCATCCTCAACTCCATTTTCATTTGTTTTTGTGTGCCTCTTGAAATCTTCAGTCGCGCATGTTTTCGTTCGCTTCTCTGCCGGGACGACAGACAGACGTGTTTTGCAATTGTTGATGCAAGCTGCTTAACATTAGTAAACTGCGTAACACAAAAAACAGACATAGATGAACATGGATTGCGTGCATGCATAGGAGTCGCTCATCTGCAATCATCTTGCAATCATTCCACAGAACTTGACAGAAGACACGAGAACAATGGACACATCACATAAAAAAAGAGTGTGCTGAAAGCGCTATGAACTTCTCGCGCAACGAACTGCGAATATAAGTACACAATACACGACGACATTGAATGATCTCGTCGTCGACTCCAACGACCGACACACTGCACACCTGCACTAAACGCACCACAAACCATTCAAACCTAATAACCCGAATTCGTGGCAGAGGCGACGTGCTAAACAAGTGCGCAACCGACGACGATCTTGCGGAATCCCTCTCTCCGACACACTAAACAGGTGCGCACTTTGCGTCGGTGCAACCCCATCCTCCCGCATGACGACCATCCACTACTACATGCGCGTGAGTCCACAGAAGCAGCCAAACCTCCGCTCCCATCCCATCCGTCTTCCTCCCCAGCCAACCATGAGCCCCAACCTCCCCCCCCTACACGTCATCTTTCCCGTCGTTGTTATTGTCATCATCAGGGGGCTGGTCCTAGGTAATTCAGAATTGCAGTATTTTACCTTTTTTTTTTTTTTTTTTCCCCTGGGTGGTGCTAGGGGTGCTGATATGAGCAGACACCGCTAGCACTCCCGGGCAGGCCCCGTCTATTGGTGGGGAGCATCACGTGCTGGAAACCGGGTCCAGCGTCCCTTACATCCCTTACACTTTAGTCCAGTTGATGTGGCTCAGTGGTTAGAGCATTGGTTGGAAATGCGCATTGTGATATGAGGTTGCGGGCTCAAAACTCAATTGCAACCTTGCGCATGGACACCGACCGGCAGGGCGTTAGATTGACGCACAGCTGGACACACTCCCTTGGGCTGACGCATGGTACTATTACAGACACTGCCTGTGCACCACCCAAGGGTTGTTCATGGTGTTGTATGTTGGTTCTGGGTTTCACATGGGTTGCTTGGGGGTGTTGGCCTTGGGTGTTCTGTTGATCTCCCCAGTCTGGCATATCACACGTTCGTGCCATTTCCACTAGTCGTTCACATGGTAGAGTCATACGATTACATGTTACAAGGTCACGGGTTCGAGCTTGGTTCGGACCTTGGGGGGGTCCTTGTCCAGCTTTTTTTTTTTTTTTTTTTTTTTTTTTTTTTAATGGGAACAAAGCTCCAATCTATTCGTGGGGAGCAGCACATGCTGGGAACCGGGCCCAGCGTCCAGCTTACCCCGTTCTCTCTTCGATATACACACATGATGCTGCCTATACATCTCGATACATTGATTCACAGAGCACACACGGCCTTCAGGCATATACATAGCTTGCGAATTATACATGGCCTATGGGCTACATACACAAGTTTCCACACATAGTGCTGTCTGTACATCTTCATACATAGATACACGAAGCATATCCAGCCTTCGGGTATACACAAACAGTTTGAACTACACAACTATCAGACTGGGGGGGTCTAGTCACTGGGTGGGGTCCAGTATCTGCGTAGGGACAGGTATGGGCCACCGGAGTTCCTACTGATATTCGGGTAGAACTGTCTAGTGGCTATCTATAAGGCTTAGACCCTGGGGTAAGGGTAGGGGTATAAGTCGCTCAGGCCAGTCCGAGTTCCGCCTGGCCTTGGGTAAGCTAGGGGAAGGACCGTAAGCCTGCTTCAATGGGTGCTACCCTGTCTGAAACCTAGGGCCCAGAGTCGCTTGGGGCCTGTAGTAGATTGTCTGGGCCTGCCGTCCGAAGTTCCCGTTCGACAAGGCTCATCCGCTTCCGCTTCCACCAGGGCTGCGCAACCCAGCCCTGGCGCCTATCACTGCTGTTCGGTCCAAGTTATCTGCCCATTGATAGGGTAATGATCCTGAGTGCTGGTCACACTGAGGTAGGATAGTGGGATAGGGGGTGTGCTAGGAGTATTGACGTGCGGATGGGATGGAAGGTGGTCTCATATTCCAGGACACCCACAGCCTACTGCTCCAGGTGATCACTGTGTACACAGTGACTGGCCTCTACAACACCATGGACTTAAAAACAAACAAACAAAGTTATGGTAATTTGTCATTGCGACTCATCTATCCTAACCGCTCAGTTAATCTCCCTGGGTATCCTGGGGTAATCAATGCTGGCGGAAAGCTCTCGAGCTAAGCTTGTGGATGATCTTGTTATACAGGGCGCTGGACCCGGTTTCCAGCAGGTGCAGCTCCCCACCCATAGATGGAGCAGCCAGGGACAGCTACTACAGGCGGCTGCTCTTATCACCCCCTCTAGTAGTGGTCGCTGGTTAAGAAAAAAAAGAAAAAAAAGAAAAAAGAAAAAAAAGATCTATGATCTTTCCTCTACAGATATGTAGTTCCCTTGTCTAACCAATTTAATCTTTGTACACTAACCATTGTACGTGTTTTTGTTTTTTTAACCATCCCTCACAGGTGATAGTATTGTACGTGTTCATGAAATTGCAAGTACTGCATCTATTTGTGGTGACACCATGGTCGTCTCACCTATCCATATGATAAATCGAACCAGACATATTCATAAATAATCTCCCCTACAACTATTTTCTAGCAACGAACTTCACAGCTATCCTGCATCGTATGTTCTTTACGTCATCAGAAGAGAACTTCAAGTTGAATGGCTGTATAAAATTAAAATAAAATAAAATAAAAAAATGTATAGCCAAAAGTGAAGCATATGTGAGCAACTGGTTCGCGTCGTGCTGTTTCGGGATGCCTTCCACATTCCATATATATGGTTGAGCGGTTTCTTATTCCACTGATCTTTGGTACAAAACCTTTGTGAACCCCCCCCCCCCCCCCCCCCTCTTCTTGCAGATTCCACGTCTAGCGTAAGCGGGTTGTGTACTACTCGAATTTCATACGCCTGAAGTCCACCACTGCGTGTGTCCAATGGTTATTGTGTGCGACATGGAAAGGTGAAATAATTAAGTCTATATCGCTAACAATAACATTCATATGTTATTTATGAACTTCATGGTATTCACACTCGTGTCTTGCTTTTCAATGTACAAAAGGGACGCTGGGCCCGTTTTCCAGCAGGTGCGGCTCCCCACCAATAGATTGGAGCAACTGTAAAACAAAAGTAAAAAAAAAAAAAGAAAAAAAAAAGAGTGTATTTCTGGGGATGTGCCCCCTTCCTGGTCTAACCACAGTCTCATTTTCAGAGTCACATTTTATATGATTCACCTGACACTCATTATCTAGTTTGCTGAGGTTTAAATAAAAATCTACTATGTCAGTGTTCAGCCATTTCCTTTCCATCATGAGCAAGTTGAAATCATGAATTGTAAGCGTCCATTCTTCTCTCGTGACCTCCTTAAGCGCGCTTGACAGGACGCCCGCATTTTGAAGTTTCATTGGCAAGCACATGAAAGTTCATCTCCTACTCTGACAAGTTCGTAGTCGCCAAGTGTGAGGCAGGTACGTCACCTCGTAGTTATTAAAAGCCAGAAAAAACAGTAGGCCGCACTTGACCCATGCGGCATGTTCCCATCGAACAGTTTTGTACTTTTCTGGACTGTACCGGGCCGGTACTTTTGAGTGGGGACATTGGGCCCGGGTCATTCCTTATCCCATAGGAAACAACACCGGACATCCCAAACGCGGCAAGGGACCCCGCAATCTGTGGTGCAACGGGTGGCCAAATGAGTCCTATTTTTGTCTGTTCAGCCGTCGTTTTGGACTTGCAGTTCATCAGAACAGACGTCCGAACAGACTTTCGGTCTGTTCGGACAAAAGCCATGTTTTGGGCCTTTTTCGTTCGCAGGCAGGCCCTTTCGGGCCAGGTGCGTGTTTGTCCAGTAGCAGACAGTCTGTGCTGCATCAGCAGGGAGGGCCTGGGGACATCTGGTAGGGACCCAGGCAGGCCGTTTCAGGCCAGGACCAGAGGCACACCAGCGAGGCCCAGCGCTACGTATAGCTGGGCCAAGCCGGGGCAGACACACAGTTCGAGTAACTCACTTCTTGGGAGACACATTGCTGGAGCAGCGCGACACAGCGCTGCGCCAGAGGTAGAGGAGTAAGTAGAAAGGGAGAGGGAGAGGCGGAGTACCTACCTGGGTGCCATAGCTGGACTTCTCGCCAGCGACCTGCAGCACACAGATAGGCACGCCGGCGAGTTAGTACGTGGTGGCAGTTACCTGCAGGTGAGACGGAGAGGAGGACGACATCTTCTTCCTCCTCCAGTTCTCGCCCTCCATCCTCCTCCTCCGCCTCCTCCTCCTCCTCCTCCTCCTCCTCCTTCTTCTTCTTCTTCTTCTTCTTCTTCTTCTTCTTCTTCTCCTTCTTCTTCTTCTTCTTCTTCTTCGTTCAGAGAGAGAGAGAGAAAGGTTACAGGCAGAGGTTACATTGGGCTATTAGGCCCATGATATGATTGGACATTTTTGTGGCGGACATTGATTGGACATTAGGCAGGGAGACTATTTTTGGACTTCGCTATCACAATCTTGGTCTTCTCCCTCCTCTCCATCTTCGTCTCGCCTCTTCCCCCATCTCCTCATCCGTGGAATCTCCCCATGTGCGTGATCAAGGAGGGACCTCTGGTCTGCGTATATGGTCCCTCCCCTCTCACATGTGTGGTGTATGATGGGATGTCGCGTCAGTATCTGACAGGTCAGGTCATGTCTTTGAGTCTTCCGTTGCGCTACATTGTGCTATTTTCGTATGAGGCTCGCCACACAGGCTGTCAAAACTCGAAGAGTTTCGACAGGTGTCAGAAAAAAATTGAAAGTCGGTGGTCGACAGTTTGCCCCCCCTTCGTCACACAGGCTGTCAAGGGGCAAGGTTTTCGGTCATGGCCAGGCGGATGGGCATCACGGAACAGTCCCTGACAATGCAAAATCGAGCGCAATTTTCGAAAGGTCAGCGGGGCACTGTCGAATTTCCGTCACCTGCAGGCGGGAGGAAATGGTTGCTGGAGGGCGGCTGTCGAAAGTACCATTCTGACACCTGGCGAAAGT